TATATATATATATATATATATATATATATATATATATAGGAGCGATCAAATGAAAACCGCCCCCATTTGTGTAAACCATGTAAATCGATCTTATCCATCCATTTTTTTGATCAATGGTCAAAATTAAATAGTGTTATATCAGGAAACTAAAAAAAGTTTAATTTTTAATTAAAAAAAGGGTAAAATCGGCAAATCACTCATATGAATCTGTTTCATTGTATGAAGCTGTATTTAATCACTGTCCTCTTCACTGTATGCAACTATTTCACTGAATGAAACTGTATTTCATCACTGTATGAAAAACATTATTTCATCACTGTATGAATCCGGTTCACTGTATTAATCTGTATTTCTCATCTAGATGAACATGTATTTCTTCATTGTCTCAATCTGTTTCACAGTATTTATTCACATGTGTGAATCTGGTTCACTGTATGAATTTGTTTCACATTATGAAACTGTATTAATCTCTCCTCTTCATTGTATGCAACTATTTCACTGTTTTATATTTAAAAGCAATTGATTTACACATCCCATATAAATGGTTTCTATATTTACGTTTTCATATCTAAAAATAATTAAAACAATTCCAATGTTATATTTAAAAACAATTGATTTACACCTTCCATATAAATGGTTTCTATATTTACGTTTTCATATTTAAAAATAATTAAATCATTTCCAATATCAATCATTATATAGTAAAATGACAATTATACCCTTACTTATTAAAATTACATAATAAAAAACGAAAATTTCCTATTGGTCGAGAGTGGTTTGCATAGTTTTCACGAATCAGACAGTTTGTATTCTAACCCGCCTATATGTATATATATATATATATATATATATGTATAGGCCCATTCAAAGGAGAACTGACTAGTTTGTGGTAACTGTGAGATCCAATCTCAATCACAAATCAATAGATAAATTATGAAATTTATAATTTTGATAATTTTGAATTAAAATTTTAATGCAAGAACATTTTAGATATTTTCTCTCCGTCCTCCGTCATCCGGCCTCAATCCACCGTCATCCGGCCTCAATCCACCGTCCTCCGTTGATACCTAAAAATATTGACTTTGTTAAACAAAAGACACAATGTGATACCCAAACACATATAAGATGCATTGTGATACCACTGTATTACATCTTCGATCGACCAAACGACCTCAATGTGATACCCAAACACATATAAGCTGCATTGTGATACCATTGTGGTATC